GCTTTTCCCTTTTTGTCCTTTCTCGGCCGATCGGGCCGTTCGCAAGCCTGACAGCTTTATTTCCCTGCCGCTCTCTTCCCAGCTCGTTTACATCATTCGGTCCGATTACCCGTGATTTATAACACTGCGTATCCGCCTTATCATCGCCTCTTCTTCCTTTTTCGCTTCAATTTTCACGGCATCTTTTCGCGTGTTACGTAAGCAACGTGTACGGCTTGCCACTCTCGCGCATAATTACGATGTAATTGCTGAAGCAGCTTGCGCCGCGCTCGCTCCTATTTAATTCTCATTTTCTTCTTTCTCAACGCACGCGCGCGGCTCTAACGTTATTTCGATTACCTCGTTGCGCCGCCCACTGGCACCAACGTCTCGCCGAAGGGGATACTTCAAACGCGAAAATTCGTTCGATCTCTCTCTCTCTCTCTCTCTCTCTCTCTCTCTCTCTCTCTCTCCAACGAAACGTAACGCGCGCTTTTATCGCAGCAAATTTTTAACGACCAAATTCCGCACTACTCTAATCGCTACTCCAACAAGACTCACTTTTAATAAAAGCCTAATTTCAATTTATTTTTTACGCTCGCTCGCAAAATTATGCTTCAACCAGATCCTTTAGAATGATACTGTTCCCCAACGAAATCGATCAAGCCGTTCGCAACCAAAAGACAAATCAGCTCGAAGATTGAAGCTCTTCGTTGTTGAAGTCGGTAAAGATTAAACGTAAATTACGAACATTCTGTATCTTACGAGCTTACACCGCACCAAGATTGCTGGCATAACGTGAATTAAGTAATTACGGGAGAAAGTACGACAGATGTTGAAAATGTAAGTACAACAAATAGAAAGTGAGTTTCTCGCGCGCGATGGATATCCGTATTTCCCTTGAAAAAACGTCCGACCGTTGGAAAAATCGGATTTAAAGTAAAATAGGTATAAAGCACAACTTCAAGGACGTATTCGTAAGTGCACTTAGAAAGTTAAACTCGCATATGGGCCGGCCGCGAGACTGAGACACGCACTCCCGCGACTGCTACATACATAAGGATGCAACGTGGCGGAAATGGAGAATTCCCTTCAGGTAACGCCCGGTTGAAGGATGACTTTTATTACTTTATAAGGCGAGCTGTAAGCTTCTGTCTGCCAATTGACGGGCGCACTTTAATTTGCTGGTTGCTGCTGCGATTTCGGCACTCGCTCGGGAAAGCGCGTGCGTGTGGTTGGGCTCCGACCATAAAATGCAGTCTAGTCGCGAAAAGCCAGCGAGGATGCCGATAACGCGAGCTGAAATGGTTCCTCGAACCGAGAGCACTCCGACGAGCGGCGCACACGCGTGACGAGAGGCGCGATGCGAGAAGCAGAGGAGCTCGGCGAGCTGCTGCGCTCTCGAGCTCTCGGGCTTCGCGGAAAGCCGGGAGAAAGATGAAAAAGACGCAATAGACCAAGCTCAGGCCGGCTGGCTGGCAGGCCGTCTCAGGCCGCGAAGCGAAGCGGCCTAGAGAGCTGCGCGAGAGAGCGATTGAGATGCGGCCGGCGTAGCCCGGTGGCCCAGTGACTTCCTCTCTCGGCCGCTCGCCGCGACAGCGCTATGCTAATCGATCTCGCACGTGCGCGCGATGATCTCCTTTTTGCTTCGGCAGGCAGTCGAGCTGCCACGTCCAAGGATGCCTTCTGTGCCTCTTATAGATCGCACAGCCGGCTGCGTCTCGCTCGCTCGTCTTCGTTTTCGTTTTCGGCCTTGCCGCGCCTCTTATTCTCCGTCGATCGACCGACCATCCTAATGATCGCCGTTTGCATCGCGCGATGCTCGACTCGGCGCAACGTTTCAATTAGCCTTTATTTAGCACATGGCTGCGCTCGGATCGCTAATGGCTTCGAGAAAAGAGCTGCCGAGGCCGCCGGCGCTGTAGCTATTCCTTGTTGCGCGCGATCCAACTGCAGCGCTTGCGGGAAACTTTCGGCGGGAAAGAACGGCTCCGCGTCCGGACGGCGATGAGAGTTGCTCCAAGCTCACGCCCTCTCTCTTTTCCTTTGATTGCAGACATAAAGGACATGGAGTCGTGGCTGAGCGAGGTGCAGCGCGTGAGGATCCCACGCCCGAAATTCGGCAGCGGCAATTCGGTGCGCCGCTCCAACTCAGCGGTGCCGAGCATCCGACCGGAGGTCAGGCAGGCAGCCCAGGAGGTAGCCAAGGCCACAGAGGAGTTGAGGCAGGCCCTGCAGGACAAGCTGTGACGTGCGGCTGCCAGCCCAACTTCGATCTAATCCCCCAGCCCTCCTCCCTCTAGCTGACCAGACTAGTCCTGTTATCATCCGCTCGCGCGACTCTGTGTATTTGACAATCTAACCGTCGCCGCCACTGACCCATTTACATCTCAATTTCATGCGATCGAGAACGTGTCGTCTGGCTATTTCAAGAGCGAAACCCCCGGTAATTCAATTCGTCGAGTGAACGCGCGCTTGCTAGCAAAAAAAAGCTCCGCCGTCTACCTTCGCTCAAGCTTTTCCAAAACATTTATCCAATTATGAATTATTCAGTGGATAAGAATGGGTCAGGTCGATCCAATGATATTTACTTGAACATCCGCGAGACACACATGGACAAAAGCATCAATTTTTATCAATCGAATACGCCTGACTTTTCTTTGGGATTTGCATGTTTTAGACATTATACGACTACTCAAATTTAAAAAAAATTGTCACGCAAAAGTAATGGACTGATTACGTAATAGGTTACATGATAATAATTTAGAATTACAATTACTTTTCAACTTGTACGCTTTTAATAATGTTCTCTTATATTACATATTTATTTGCGAAAAGTACGCGCGCTTTTGTTTAAATTATTCAAATAATAAATGTTTTTCGAAACATTCCAGATTTATTCCCATGTTGTAAATATATGATCGTAGCGTTTCATGTATCGTTGTTAATCACATCGAAATAACGCCGTATATATCACTAGACCTAAGATTTTTGTATAATATAATAATCGTTGGCATTGACAGTTTTCAATGCTGGCAATTCTTTCTGAATAAAGGACACGAAAATAAAATTTGTTATCAATGTATACTCCAGTAGCTAAATATAACTATTAGAGACAAGCGTCATAAGTTTCAATTGGCGAGAGATTTTCCGTACTACAATCTGCCGAGATAATTGATTTTGCCTAGCGCAAAAGGTGCCACGAGTGTCTATATAAGAGTGTAAAATAGAGGCGAACGAGCTCATTATCGGTTAGAGCCATATCGAGCGCGCCGTGGTCGCCGTTGCCGAGAACAAGAAGAAGAAGAGGCGGACAGGAGGGCAAAAAGGTTGGATCGGCGGAGGAGGCGCATCGCTCACGCAGGCTGGCTTTTGCGGGCGCGCCGCGATGCGAATAAACCTGTTAATTTCCAGCGATCGGGGAAAATGAGAGCTGCCCGCGCGGATTACAGGTTTCCGGGGACGTCAGCGCGCTTCTTGTGCGGCTGGCCGCGATCAAAGACCTCTCTGCCCCGCTCGATGCGCCGATGGCTAATTAGCCTGCAGTCTCGCCATTATCGGCGACTCTTTTTAATTGGGGCCGCCGCGAGCTTCTGATTCTTGCCGGCCTCTCCTCCTTCCCCGCGATATCGTCGGCTCGTCGGATATTAGTTATGTCACTATTAAGTACGACGATGATAGAAGGCTTCGAGCCGATACAGCCAACGAGTTATGGTTTAATTAGCGGCTCAAGCGTCGCGCTGATATTTATGAGACGTGCACTTTTGATATTTATGAGACGCGTATCCCTGATACGGCTCGATTGTCTTGCAAAATAAAGAGCGCTCTTGCGCATTTCTCGGACCTAACAGTACTGCCCGACGGCGCCAATGAGCGAACACTGAGCCAACGAACGGCAAGCGATCAATTAATTTCGTCTTTGTGTAGCGAGCGCGACAAGCCTGCCATTAAAGATCGGCAGAGCAAGTGTGCGCAGGCATCGCACGCGCGCTCCCCGGCAATTGCTCGCGACGGGAGAGGCTACGCGCACGGCCCGAGCGATAACCTCGGCGCGATAAGCGCCACGTAAGCTTAGCGCTGCCGGCGACCGAGGGCTGCGCACGTGCGTGCGCGCGCCTCGGACAAAGGCAGCCGAGGGAGGAAAAGCGCCTGCGAGAGCGCGACCTTGAACTTAGAGCAGCGCACGCAGTCTTTCCTCGCCGGAGAGTTGCGTTTCGCCAGGTCCGACGCAGCAGCCTGCAATTATCGAGCACCGCGCACCGCAGGGGCGTTACTCCTCGGCTTTTGAATATCGTCGAGATTGTTATGGGAATTCTTTCCGCGCGATGCCATTTATCGATTTGCTCTGATCCGCACGCACACACTCCTTCTGCTCGCGGATACGCGTTGACCGACAAACTTAATATTGCGCGCCGACCTGTTCGATCAATCAGTTATCTTTCCTTCTTCGTTTTTTTTTTTTATTCGCTTTTTATTCGGGACATTCCTGACTGATTAGTTCCGACGGGGTTGCTTGTTTTTTCGGAATCGCACGAGCTACAAATGATAAATTGTTGCGTTTATTAAGGCCTGTTGTTGGAACTACCTAATTTTAACTTGAAAGACTATAATAAGAATTACTACTAACTATATATTTCAGACAGACTAATCATTGAACTAGAACCTATTGAGAAGAAAAATGAGTTGTTGCGAACTGACACTTATGATTGACTACATCTACATTTACGTCTTACGAAAAATGTCTCTGCTATCGCCTAAAGGGATCATTAGAATCTTGAAGATATTTAAAAACTCAATCTAACGACATTGCAACATTAATATATAACTTTGATAAACCATTGATTTCTATCTCAGAACTCGCGAATGGTCGAGGGTTCAGGCAACACGGATAACAATTTTCCAAAGGCCTCGACAATGCGGAGTCCGAGCGAACTAATAAACTTTGTTAATGGATAAATTTCCCGTAAGAAAGTGTGCATTAGAGTGTAAGAAGGTACGAGTATGGTTATGGTGTAACTTACCAAATTGTCGGCGAGCAAATGGTGATGCGAATAATCCCGATTGCTTCGAGAACCACCGGGAGAACTGTGACGTCTGCCGCTCCGGTCTCCCTCTATTTCGTCGTCGTAGTCCTGGAGAACAATGCACACAGATCTTTTTGAAGTATACGTCATATCGCTGAAAGGAAAATCTCGATGCTCTGGGCTGTTGTTCAATCACAACAAGCGCAATTTATCGAGATACGTAACGCTGGACCAGTCGGTCGTAGAAAATTGAGCCAACGCGTGGACGTGACTGATGAAAGATTGGACATTGCAATGAAGTAATCGAAGGTGGGACTAGCCGTGGGAGAAAGCCGTACCAGAGCGTGCTAATAATGACATAGATTTGATAAGCCCGATGGATTGTATACCTGGTTATCGTACTCGTCATCGTTGGAGAACGCGAGCTCGGCTGGAGCAAGCTGCTGACGCTGCGTTCGTCTGAATCCCCCTCTGCAATATCCCAAAGCTCTCTTTCAAAATTACTTTTCTTTCGTCTTTCATTCGGTGCGCACTAGTTTTCCACAAGGCGCGAAACCGCGTAACTTTTTCCACTTTCCGCGTATAATATTCCTTTCTCTCGCAATCTACTTTCAGTATTTCGACTGATTAGTTTTCCTCTTGCAACATCGACGCTTCTCGGATTGTGCTTTGGCAAGTTGATACATCACAGTAGTGTTGCGCAAAAGTATTGAGAAAGTGTGTAAAATAAATGTTTCCGTCCGTCAGCATTGACATCGAACAGAGCTGGTTCAAATCGTGGATTTGAATCGAAGCATTTATCCGAGCAGAAATCAATCGAAGCTAGAGGAGAGCAAGAGAGAAAAGGAAGCGCACGAAGCGTAGCGCGTAAAATAAATCGGAACACGAAACGTGATTGAAAAAGTCCTCGGATTAACGTTGTAACGGGCGCTCATTTTTCTTTCTCTCGAGTCTATAACTCGGTAGCAGCAGCGAGTCACGTCAGCGGCGGAAGTCCGTTGTCGCGTGTCAGGGAGGCCGCCCGAGCAGCAGCGGCGAAATTGAATGTGGCATTTTCTCCGAAGTACGATAGCAGATCGAGCCGCGGAGGAGGCTTGGCGGCGAGTAGCAACGCGAGGAAAAAAGGGATGTGCATGGCCGGCGGCCAGATATCGATTAACAATTGAGAGAAATCGCGGCGCCACGTTACTTCCGTGCCGCTCTTTCTTTTTTCAACAAATACAAAGTGTACGTGTACGTATGTAGCTACACACGCCCCGGGGAATAATTAGATGGCTGGGTCGGGCATGCTAATGATTTCATTTGGGAAATTAACATTTTTACGATGTTACCCGATGTTTTTCCCTCGTTTGCCACCGCTGCTCCACTTTCGAAGGAAAAAAAAACAGCTCGGCGGCTGTCGTTTCGCGAAGCTGCTTGCTTCACCGTCAACTCTCTTTTTCGTCCACTTAACGAGAAAGAAGAGCTAGAAAACAAGCGTCGAGAGGTGGGAGGGAGAGAGCGAGAGCAAGTAAGGTGACAAGCAAGTTAAATCATCGAATCGATAATGCTCGCTAACAATAGATTTGCTCTTGTTTTCCGAACTCGGACAATTAATTAATAATCGTATTCGAGAGAAGTGATTAAAGCAGCAAACTTTCCGGTGTAATCGGATGGAGAAATCTTGCACAACGTAGAAACCAGCTGCACAGTGATGTAATTAGAAGATAAAGTGAAGATGTAAGAAGGTGAGGTATAATCAGTGAGAAGAAAATAGTAGCTGAGTAGAAGTGGAAGAATTAGAAGGGAAGACGTGTAAGAAGTGGAAGTAGTTAGAGAAAGCTGGACCTGATGCGGGGGACTTCAGGGCCGAGGCCACTGTCCTCGCTGGGCGATCGGCACTCTTGGCTTTCTCGTAGCAGAAGCGGCCCCGTCGTTCCCAGGGGACCTCCTTCGACATCCATCATCGGTCGTCCCAGCCGGCAACAGGTGCCGCTTGCAATCCTCTGTGAGAATTCAGCCGACAACAAGACAAACACACCTCTCAAGATCTGCTCTGTTCTTTCTACAATCGAGCGTCACAGCTGTTTGCCCGAGCTTTTGCGCGGCGCCTCCGCGGCCAGTGATGAACGCGCCGCGACGAGAGCAGCGGCGTCTCCATGGGAAATGGGTTTCTAGGCTTGTATGTTTGCCCGCCATCGTAAGTCGACCGGCGTCGAATCGATGAAAAACGCTATGTGGCGCACGCTCCGTGTCGTGTGCACGCGCGCCGCGGACACGTCGAGCGAAGGCTGTTAGGCTGCCTGCGAGCCCGAGCGCGCGAGGCATCACGAAATCCATTACGCGCGTCATTCTCTGCGTCCTCGCTTGGGCTTTTTTCACCATCGTTATCGACGCGCCTCCGCGCCTCGTTCTCCTGCGGCATCGCGATCGTTATTGGCGCGCGAGCTGCCTGTTAATATCACGTCGAGCATACGCGAATTGTCGAATTGCCGACGAGCCCTTCGCCGATCGCAATTACAATGTAAGCCACAAAAGCTCGAGCAAACAACGCTCGCCTTTCTCTCTTTCGCTTTGGCTGACGTATTTCATCCTCGTTAAGGATATGTGCCGCGTGTGTATATGTCACTCGTTGTTACTCGTGCCAAACGGTATAGCTCTACTTCCAGTGCGAACGCGTAAGCTGCCTTATTTCTACCACATCGATCCAGATATTTATTCATGAAGCAAAGCAAGATATTTAATTCATTGTGTGCGTGTCGAGTTAGCGATAAAAAATCAATTTTACGTGGCGGCGGCTACCTCCTTTTCGCACGGCTCAGCGAGTCTACATTAATTTCTTCCAGGCTCTGTCGCCGATAGAAAGAAATCACGTTGGCAATGATCGTGCGAGCTTCAAGTGTGTAGCAGCGAGCAGAATGTGGAGACTCGCGATAGACAAGAAACATCGGTGCAGGATATGCGGCCAAGTGGGACATTATTTATGCGAATTTCCGACGTGGTGGATGTGCATTTCACTTGAATCGATATCGAAGGACAACCTGTGCGTCGAGCAGTTCTGTGGTGCATCGCATGCTACAGCGGAAGTACATTACGAACAGGTTCTTTTACAGTAAACTATCATTACTCCGAGAGGACTTGGATTACGGCGTCAAATCTCATTTTCGAAACCTCGGCAAACATTTCTCGACGTAGTCTACAAACATTTATCCGTTGTTTCGCTACTAAATTATTCCGTGACGTGCTTGCGTTCGACGCGTGTCGACGTGTCTAAGAATTGATCTGTCCAATTAGAAATACGGAAAAGAAGGACCGTTTTAACCAGGTTCTCTACGGCAAGCGGCTTTAAGCAACTGTTAGTTTCGGCGCGCTCGAGCTGCAAAGTGCCTGAGTGCCTCGCAAGTAAGAAAGCGCAAAGAAAAACGAGAAGCATTTGCGAGCAATTTTGAAAAGTCCAATCACGGAGGAATACAAAAGTTGTGCGCTCTCGTTCGGACGTTGCAGGGTGGTAGTGCTGGCGGCAGGAGGATACGAGTCGCGCACTATTCTCAATTCTCTCTTCGTTTTCTCTAGTCTCCCGTTAATTGCGCCACCGGAATCGTTTCTATCTCGATCTTTCGCGCGCCTTTTCCGCTTTGAATGTTTAATAAAGTTTTTAATCAAAAGTCTTGCTCTCCCTCCCTCTCTCTCTCTCTTTCTCTCGAAAGCGCCATATGGCACACCGTTACACAGCTCGCATTTCTCCAGTCGATAACGAGTACTTAGTATCATACGTTCTATTACGCTTTTCAACAGTGCAATTATTTTCGTCTGGTCGTATCCGTATACGTTGTCGAGCTTGTTTTCTGGTAATATGAAATTTCGAAAAAAAAAACATCGTATAGACAGAGTTTTAGCAGTCTAGTCACGTAAAAATACGCGCCCCCGCGAATGCAGTTGCGAGCAGAGTGAAGTAATCGTTTGAGCAAGAGGATTTCCGCGACGCGCTTTATTTCTCTCCGTTTAGCCTTCTATTTCTCCTCGCTAGCCATTTTAGCAGCTGCTTTCAAAGCCAACTCAGAAGCTCTCTTATTATACTCTTCCAATGAACCAGTAAAATATACGCATATAAGACAACTCGGCTTAATTCAACAGATGCTACTTCACATATATTTTCAAAAGTATACTTCTGACATACATTATTTATACGCAGCATAATTATTTCTCCGCTATCACTGTTTTCATACTAGCAAATTATTCACTATTAAATATTCACTACTTTTACGGATGATTAATAATGTCAAGTTTATATGGAAAATATATGAATATTGATCGAATTGCAAACTTATTTCAATCGTTAAATAAAAAAAAAAGGAAATAAAGATCGCACTGGGTTAGCCTCGCTGGAAGTAATACAGACATAAAAAAGAACTGTGAGGAAAAGATGGGCAAGATTATGAATATTCAAGAGGAAGAAAATAAAAAGACGTGTTCTTTGCTACATCAGTATGAAGAATCTTACGTAATGCGCAGATAAAAGAGATAAAGGTACAGAGAAGAGGCAAGAAAAGAAAGATTTTATAGGAGGCTCGAAAAAAGAGAGATAGATATCAAGACATGTAGACAGAAATTTTCGTGTTGGCGAAGATGTGAGAGAATGTGAATTGTGAAGTAGAAGTATACGTAAACCTTCGGTGGGTCAAAAGGACTCACCGGAAGCTCATGCAGCGACGGCGTTACTATGAGGTCCGAATTGTGCACCCTGTCACCTTTCCTCTGGAAAACATAAAAATATCAAGTTTTCGCAGAATAATTACGAACGAATGTACGACGAGTCTCGATCTCCTCAACTTGCAAAAACATGGTCGCAATGTTGCTGGCACGAGATCGCAAGGAGCGCTCGAGGCTGATATGAACGAGCGGTAGATTAAAACAATAAAGAGACAGTAGGGAAGAATTACCCTGGAAAGCCTGGGTCGGTAGACGAGGTCATCGAATATCGGCCGATCCTTGCTGTCGACGAGTTCTCGTAGCTCGGTGAGCAGCGTGAGCTTCTCGTGGGTGTTGAGGAGGTCGCCGAGGCTCATCACGAGGTCCTCGACGGTCAGTCTTCGGCTCCTGTAGTCGGCGAGAAGCTGCGACAGTGCGGCCCTCTCGCTGCGCGCCAAAACCACGCGAGCCTTCTCCTCGACCATAGTGGCCGTCGCCGCTGAGATCGGCGCAGGGCCTCGGTGCCTCCACTCGTTTATACTGCTACTACGTACGCGCGCGCGCGCGCGAGCGACATTTCAGTTTCAAAATTAATCACAGAAATGTATTTCCGAGAGATAAGCCACGTCTGCATATATCCCAGAATGCAGCTGCAGCTGAAATCGAATAAAAAGAGAATAGCGCTTACGCAGGACTAGGCGGCCGATGATTTCCCGGACTCTCCAGCAGCAGCGAGTCGTGATCTTGATACCTCGAGACTGGCATAACCATCGGTTGGCTGGTCGTACACGAGTGGGGCACCTTGCCAACGTCTCGTATCACCAGGCTCATCCTCTTGTTCGTCTTCAAGATCTGCACGGCCTCGTCGTGTGTCGCCTCCTCGAAGCTCTGACCATTCACCTCTAGAATTTGATCGCCTACCTGCGTGGTTCACATAAACAATTCTCGTTTCAGTTGCAAAGGCTATAGCTGCTGTTAGGAGCATTCTCAAGTAGTACGAGAGAAGCTATCTCCAATTGCAATTTGTCTTTTTGAACTCTTTGCACATTTTACATTTTGGCAACCAAACAACGTTTTATTTATTGTGAAAAAAATACGAAATGTAAACAGCTCGCACTTGCAAAATTATCTGAAACCTGTTGGATAACATTCATTCGGTTAAATTATTGGAAATTTATGTCATTGCTATTTACAAATCGTTACGCTTTTGATTCTATTATACCAAATGGAGGCACGACAGACTTTCACGATCAGTACGGTTTGTAGCATAATTATATTGCCAAAATAACTGAAACTAATCTATTCGTTGAAGACAATTGTCATTAATACAATATTGAATAGTGCAAATCAGATATAATTCCTGGACTACATAGTAATGCTATTTTAAATTCATACATCTACGTGCTTACCGTTGATTTGATGGTATTCATAGAAAAATAGTTGATTTCAATAGCTTGAAATTAATGTGTTGTATTTAATAATGATACTATAATATTGAAAACATCAGTTATATAATTTTGCCAATGATCAGATGAATAATATTTGTGCAATACCAAGTCAAATTTTTATCACGTAACAATATGTATTTCCTATGCAAGCTATGTATTTTGCTACGAAATTTCACTCTGAAACTAAGTCGGTCTTTTTGTACAAGTTTTATAGCAGTTTTTTAAATAACTTTTTAAGTAAGCAAAAACAATTGACGAAATGTCCGAATTTAAACAGTATAAGCAACTACGATAATAATCTACGACAGAACATGTGTCTCATAGTTGCGTGATTATCGGTATTTTGCCCAAGTGCGGCAAAAATAAATTAAAAGTGCAATTTACCATGAGACCGGCTCGATGGGCAACGCTATCCTTATCGACGCCAGTGATGTAAATACCAAGTCCGTACTCAAGTCCACCTCGTATCATTAAACCCAGTGACTGTCCAGGCTCGATGCAGAGGTCGACTTTACGCGTTCTGGCCGCGTAACGCGAATCACGCGGTGGATTGACAGGAGGCGGCGAAGCTGGTCTGCCCTGACGGTCCATCCAACTGCAGGTCTGTTGTCGGTTCTGCGACCAAACCGGATGGCCGCCTCTGCATCGAGGATCTATCGCCGGCCCTCGCACCGTCATGCTCAGCGTCCGGCATGATTTCAGCATCTGTATCACGGTTAATAACGGAAACTAATGATTTTTCATCGAAATTCAGCTTCTTTTTTCTAGCGCATAGCGTTTACTTGCAATATCATCATGCTCTCATCTGCAATTACTCATAGATAATTTTGAATATTCAATCAAGTCGAAGAGTTTCATTTTCTAAACGTTTTACCGAGGTAATTAAAATGACTGAATAATCATGGAGAACGTGATCATATTTAGTAAAACAATTATTCGAGAGTATCAAGAGTGAATTATTTTTCAATATTTTATGAAAAACGCATTGTGCACGTCCGGTCGAATTGGTAAGCGCATGATCGCGCTGAGAAAAGAGCGCAGTTTCAATGTCAATAAAAAATATCCATATAGAAGTATCCATATAGCGTTATTCGATCGATAAAAATCAGAAAGCCGTTAAAAATAAAACTCTTGTTCTTTTTCCTTTGTTAATTCCATTTGCGCACCCGTTCGCGCACAACAGTATTTCGAGCGGCGTAAAAATATTCATAATACAATTCCATTGCGTGCGTGTTCGATTTTAAAAAGCAAAGCAACAAAAAAAGAAAATAAAAACACGTTAACGCCATTTCTCTGGATCCAGATTTTTTTTTTCGGGACGTCGTAAACAAGGCTGGGATAAGGAAGAAGCACGCAAGATCCATTTGAAGAGAGAGTGGCGGGGGGAGCAATAAATCAGGCAGGTGCTAATTTTGGGCGAAAGCGATGACGATGAGACATAATAAGTCATGTCCATTTATTCAAGTTGACGGGCGTGCGAGCTCATTAAGAGGTGGGACACACACACACACACACATACATACACGCACACGCAGCAACAGGGCGACGGAAGGCCTGAAAATTAATCTTTCGGAAAGTGGAGGTGCGGGTGGGTGGATTGCTATCGTCGCGTGGCCGTGATGCTACAACGCTCAATGGCAGCGAGGACATTATAGGCGTCTCTCAGCCTTTCTCGTTCAGAGAAACGAGGGAACGCTGCTCGCGATGATATCGATCTCTCGCTCTTTCTCTCGCGGCACGGGGCGCGTGACGTCACGCATCCTGCTTATCCTTGACCCGAGCACCACCACTCGCACTGCTCAGTCCTTTGGGGCGCCTCTCCCCCGAAAACTCCCTCGCCCTCACTCCTCACTATGACGACCATGGGAGAACGAGTGACTCGTTATTGTTAATACTAACAGCGCGCCTCCGTCGTTCTCCTTTCAGCCACGAGCCATCAGCCAATTGATGATCAAAGAGAGACCGAGAAAAAAAGCGAGAGAGAGAGAGAGAGAGAGAGAGAGAGAGAAGGAGGCGGAAGTACCAAAGAGAACGATAAAAATAGCGCGTCAGTCGTGCTCTTTGCTTGTCTTCGATACATAGCTAGTGACAGAAGGATATCTATTTGATATGCAATCCTCGATACTCATCGATTGTGCAACGAGTAACTAATCCCTATTCCCACACTTCGACGTACGTGTCAGATGTAAGTCTGTCTCTTTCGTCCCAACAAGCCTCCATTGAATAATTACGCACTTCCCCTAACGCTGCGCGCTAACCGAAGTTAAACGTTTTATTTCTCTGACCTTCGAGTTATATTCCACGCTTTTCGTATTTCCATTAGGCCTCAAGTTACAAATGTATGATAGCTATTGAATGAAAGACTACGCCTTTATGCTTCTTTAAATGCTGTATTGAAACAATATGTGCAACAAACGTTATTCCATTTTAAATACAGCGAAATTGTATTGATTTGAAATGAACCGACAGATAGAATCAAGTTATGAAATGTTCCTGACGTGGGAATTCATTTTCACGTCGCTCTCGAATTTAAATGTTTCATCGTGTCAGCAAGTTTTCTGCTAATTCACCCAAACAAATAGTTTCTTATGAATAATAACCTATTTCATCAAGCTTAGTCTTTTATCAAACTGTTTTTAACTCAGATACTGAGGTTACACCGAGATTTTCAAGTATAAAAAGTGTCATTATGTGCAAATATATATTGCCAATTGAAATTGCAAATTCGGCAGAGCCTTATCAAGTCAGTAGCAATTATTTTAATTCCTAATACTTTCTAAATAAGCATAATAAATTATACGATATAATAAAAATAATGTAATCTTTCATATAGTTTTTGTGAAAAGTCATATAATTATAAACATACAATTTTGCGAACTAGCTATTCAAGAATATTATTTGAATTTATTGTTGGTCTACAATCGTTCAATTATTGCAATTACAACTTGCAATATGTATCTGATAAATAGCATCTTAATTATGACTGCATGACTCGTGGGCGATCCATTGGCGTTTGCACCTTGTAGGAGATGTTAAAGTTGTATCAGCCTAAGGTCGCTTCTTCAAATTCGAAAATATTTGGGAAAATTTATAATAAATTGATCAATTTTGATAAGCGTTTCCCTCAACAGTTAGTATATTTCACTTTCTTTTTTCCATCTATTAAAGAAATGACATTTTTAAAGTGTGAAAGTTTGAAAAGTTGAAATCTATTGTTATTAGAAGTTGATTTACAGCACATAGATCTTGATTTGAAAAAAATATTGGTATAATATTTAAGAAAGACGTCGAAAAAGTAAAAATGAAGACCAGTCTATAATAAATTTGCCATTGGCAGCAGTAATGAACGAAAAGCGAAATTAATAAAAAGAACTGCTCGACGCATTCAGGATATTGCAGTTGAGCTCTATGAAAATGCCGCGATCAATGGAGCTTTAGCATATACATATAAGTCGAAAAACGTGCGCGAGCAAAATTTCCTTTCGACATAGGCCTTTGCGGCGCGGGTGCGCTCAATAAGCGAACGCGGCGGCGGAAAGCTGGGTATATCGCGTGACAGGACCGATTAAAATCCACTGCCGTGGAAACGTCAGATGCTTATCCAAGCGGATGATACCGGGCGCTTTAGCTAGCTGCCGTGGCGGATTTCAACTGATTGCATAATTTTTCAAGCCGCACGCCGCCGCCAATATCGTCCAGCTAAATCAGCCTGGCAAGATACTTCCATTTTCACTTTGTGCCTGCGTGTGCGCGCGCGTCGTGCGAAAGTACGGTACACGCTCGCGACCTTAGTTATGCGATTTTGTTCATTCTATAGCCGCTGCCACGCGACCTGTACCCAGAGACAGTCCTTCGCTTTAACTATCGCGTTTGTCATCTCAATTAAGCTGGCAGTTTAACGGGTCGGACTGTTTAAATTGATTTTTATCGACGTTGCTTTGTTACAGTTAAGCCATTGTGGTCTGTCGAAATTTACGACTACACCAAATGCAATTTATTACAGGGCATGATGTAACGTTTTTTCCAAGAACGTCTAGCGATTGATCAGCGATAGCGCTGTTTTTCAACTTTATTTGCAAAGGCAAATCATATTGAGAACCTGAATTTCATTGTCGTTTCGATAAAAATATCTAACTAATTTGAGCAGGAATATTTCCTTTCCTAAATGTTCAGGTTGAAAGCTAAGCTAAAATTCTTTCAAAGTCCCTTAATTTCCTTTACTCGTTGTTGAATGTTTTTCGCATTTACAAAAACTATTACTTCGCCTTGGGCGAAACACTGAAAGCCTTTTTCCAACTGTTGCGATGGATTACCGCTTCGCTAAAGACAAATTACACACGCATACACACGCACACACGCACATATTTTGAAAAAATTCTTGCCGGGGGAAGTTTTTGCTTGCGAAACAGAAACATGTGCATATCCAATCTTCTGCGCTCCATGATGCTTGCACTTGCAAGAGAGAGAGGGAGATGGAGAGAGGGCGGTTATGTATAGTCGCAAGTTCATTAACCGTTACAGTTGAACTGAGCCGCGCACCATTTTCACGGGGTTGACTAATCGAATGAGGAACAGATGGAAAGGAGAAAGCACGATTCGCAGGCGAAATCGCGTCAGGAACGGAGCTACGCGACGAAGCTACTGAATGTTTCGCAAAAGCATCGGACGAACGCGGAGAATGGTTTAGTCATCGTCCTCCCTCTCTCGCTTCTCTTAGCCCCATCACAAGTCGCAGATGGAGAAAGGGGCAATCGCGAATCGATCTTCCCGTGCTGGCGCTGCTGTTTACGCACTCGCTCCGATGCCGAGAGGCAAGAGGGAAGTTTCGCGCTCGACGTTAACGACTGCCGGCGGCGACGACGGCGGCGACGGCGGCGGCAGCGGTAGCAGCAGCAGTAGCGCTCCGCTCTTGCATTATGTAGGAAAAATAAATGACGGGGCTTTTATGGCGCCGAGACGACTGGCGCTTCGTTCTCCTCGTCCTTTTTAGCTCGCGAAGCGCACGCGTCTCCTTATCCCTTATCACAGCTATTTCTCGGCTTATCTCTCCCCTTAGCGCTTCCGCAGAGGCTGTGTCGTCTGAGCCTGCTGTTGAAAGCTCTCTTTGCATGATTACTACTCGCCAGTCCATCCGTTTCTCTCTCTCTCTCTCTCTCTCTCTCTCTCTCTCTCTCTCTCTCTCTCTTTTCCAATGCCATTCATTTTTCTTTGAAAATATCGAGTTCGCACCCGCCTATTGCACGTTCTAAATCTGCTCACGAAACTTTTGGTAGAGCTCGCTTTGCCACTGTAAGCATGCGAGAACCAATTGACTGAACGCTCGATATGTATTGGGACGTTAAACTTTTCAAAAATAGAACGAGTAAACAAGTCGCGTCTTTGCTCCACAAAATCGATGAAACAGACGGTACAATGCTCCAATAGCCCATCTAGTTAGCAACGTTTCTGTTCTTTTGGTCTATCTATCCTTGTTTATTTGTTTTTCTTTTTTTTGCACCGGAACGTCGGTCTTGCGACCCGCCTAGTTACGTCTCAGCTGATTTCACAATGCTCTTCTTGTTCAATTTGTGGGCATGAAAACACCACTTTTTTACCTGCTCGCGCTTTTCACTTCGAAATGGAGCATCTCGTTCCTTTATTATTATCGCGGAAATGCCTTGCAACCATGATTTGACGTATTGTATAGAATTAAAATACGACTGCCAACTTTCTCGGAGAAAAAGATCGATCACGCTAAACACTTTTTTGATGATTATGTAAGTTAATCAAAGTTAAAGCATCTTTAGTTCAAGAAAATAGTGTCGTAGATTCAATGCCTGTGAAACCTTGCCGGCATTCCTGAAAAAAATTGATCGAGTTATACAAAAGGCTTGTATCTCCGTTTCCAAGAGACCTGATGCACAATTTGAATGCTACACGGCCAGGTAGAGAGAAGTTCCACGAAGAGATTTCAAAAAGAAAAAGAATATCTGCAAGAAGTAGCTTGTTATGGTAGACTATGTCAGCAAAGCAGCAGATATATTCTAGATCACAATCAAGGCAGCCCAGTCTGACTCTGTTATAAGGTGGTTCTGTGCCACCGCAGCCCCCTTTACTTTTGAAGAAAAGGACCGCGAGGCAAAGCCGCGCTTGCATAAAGTGAAACAGAGAGATAAAGAGAGAGGGAGAGAGCAGTTTCGATCGTGCTCTGTTGCCTATTAGGCGACCCGATACCCCGGTGGCCTATTGTGCCATCGCGAGCTTTTGTGCTTGCGGCAGCAGCTCGCGTCTGCACGTCCGACTGACGAGGAACTGCATGCGCATGAGCTACGCCTCACCAAGAGCTTACACTGAAGATTAGCCCTCGCGTCCCTCGCTAGTTTTTCATCCATCGCTCGCCCATCCTTTGCTCTCACTACTTTTTATCTTGTCCCTCCTTAATTACTGTCCTGATTCTTTGCGAATGTTTCGATTAGATTTCGAATGATTAATGGTCACATTCCCTTCCTGATCTTGATTGATCTAAATTTGAATCTGTAATATTATAGTTTACAGAATAATAGCGAGATGCTCAAGCTGAGATTCCAATATTTAATCAACTAGGATATTCGTGCGGAATGCCGGGCTAATCCAAATATGTTAATTAAAGCAGAGTCATGCGTACCGCAGTCTATTAGGTATAGTCCGCGAACGCGCGCGATTGAATCTCGGCACTTGCTGTAATACCACTATTAAACGGCATACCATCGACTCATAACTTCGCGTTTGGAGTGTTTGTGCAGTTTCGTGGCTTTGATTCGATGGAGGTTGTCAATTTCGAGCTATGAATAGCTAGTTTTGTATGTGGACAAACTTTGCAACGGGTGGCAAATATTTGCGCCCGAAGTGATGATTTGCAATCGAGAATTTAGTCTTGAAAAAAGCAAAAGGTGAAGATAAAAGGTAGACAGCGACTTACTTTGAGAGCCTCCTCGTGGGTGACCGCCCGAAAGGGCGTACCGTTCACTTCCAGGATGGTGTCGCCTGGCCGCAGTCCAGCACGCTCGGCAACCGAGCCTTCCTCCACTCGCGAAATGTAGACTCCCACCCCTGAGAACAGCACGTTTCAGCGTTAAAAAGCCGCGCGAGCTTTTACTTCCACTAGCTTGCCTTCTCCTCACTTCTTGGCTCTTTTTTTTCAGAAAGAAGCCTTTCTTCAGCTTCTCTTCTTTTCTGTACTTTTAGCTTTTCTCTGTTCTGTTTGCTATAAACGTGCGTTATCGCGTCCTTCTCGTTCCATCCCTTGTAACTCACGCCACTCTGCTTTGGTGACACTTGATTTTTTCAGGTGAAAATGTCCCCGTACTAACGTGATTTATCAATGGACGCTATTTTTTTAGCCTGCGCATCCGCGTAGTGTACGATTACGTCGCTTTGGAATTTATCACTTGATACCGCGACACTCAATGCTGCACTTGTTTTGTTTCCGAAGTTTTTACGAAATTTTCGTTTGAAATTATACCATTTACACGCATAGAACTGAACAATAGCGAATTAAATTTATTCGAAAAAACTCAAATAAATTTGTTATTTTTTCGCTCCTGTACTTTCTATGGTAAATTTCGTACATTTGTTTTTGACTTTGTGATATCGAAGACGGATGTATTTCACAAGAGATGGAAGGAGATAACAACAGAAGAAAAAGCACATCAAAGTGGAAAAAAATTTATACGCCGATGCATTATGACAACCCGGTGAAGAGGCAAAAGTCAAATGCTGAGTGAGGCTTCCTTTTTATAACGTGAAGCATGCAGTACGTATTTTTTTATTTATTTAAGTCACAAATTTACATTCATCTATATTTATAGAAATTTCGTTTTCAAATTTAATTTAATGAACAAGTATTTACAGTTATTTCGATAAGAATTGCGCAACATTTGAAATATTGTAAATGAACTAAGATTGACCTAGTGATTTCTAAGTTGAAATGAATAATAAGGGAGATTAAAAGCACTATAGTGTAGAAACTAATAAAAGTATAAGAGAATAACTAGACGAGAAAAATAAAACAGAACTCGATGGAGATTGATAATTGCTATTTGGAAATTGAAAATCAACAAATCCATCATATCTCTTCTAATTGCAACGAAAGCGTAATTATGCAGCGGCTTAACTGTATCTTCTCGCAGGAAAACTGATAGCATGCAATTCACACATGGTCGCACAAGCAGCATCGAAAAAATGTCAAAACTGTTGAGGGGCGTTATTCAAACGCGCAGATAGAAATGTAATGATCGTTAATTGACCGAGGCAAAATAATGCATCCCCGGGCATTTGATTATGCGATGAGATTCGAGTGCTGCCAATTAAGGCACGTCATATCTAGCATTTAATTAAGTCGCACTCGATGGGTCGAATCGATCGTCGCGCCACGGCTTTGTACGCTGCAGATTACAGCCTAAGCCCCGGCCAACGAAGAACAGACTCTCACAGAAACAATAATGTCGAATTGCTGAAACTGGAATAAATTATTCGTTAGGGTGGCGAGCGAGAGTCGTAAATTTGAATTAGAGTCGCGTGAAAAAAAATCTATGAGGCCGCGCGAATTTTCATCGGCAGTGGGTATAGCGCTCGCGAGACAGAGTGAGAGAGGAGGGCTGCAGTGTTGTAAGGCGGCACGCGAACGTATCGGGCGTACTCCTGACATAATCTGGAAATAGTGCGGCGCAGATAGGGGCAGTGGTCTCGCGGCGCCGCGGTTAAATCGACGTACGAAGCAGCGCCAGCAGTAGCGAGCCCACTCCGTAATTCAATGCTTCTTTCGCGAGAGTTTGCTCGCGCGATAGCGCCTGCCACAGATATATATATATACATATGCCTCCTTCCGCTCGACTCTCGCCTTCTTACGTATGCACGCGTATATACAGCGCCGCCTTCAGTCCCGACTTCACGTGTGCTTGTGCGCGCCGTGTGATTTAGTATAGTGACTAGCCGGAGACACTTTCATGCGACACCCATAGCTGATGATATGCACAATCTAACTAGGCTTGATTTTTTCATAAAATAATCAACGATAACATTGCAAAGCTTGCGCGCTCTTCAACGTCACTCCTTCGTTCACGCCATGTCAAATTGCGGAAAACGCCCAGGTGTACAAAGCGGCCTTGTAATGCATCGTTTCTTTATTTTATTTTGTGCCTTTTTTTACTTAAAACATTCATTATCGTAATTTCCTTTGAGACTGTAATAAATTACCTGACTGCGCATCTGGTTCAGCCAAACAAACAAGAAATACATAGCAGTCAAACTTGTTCTAATGTACTCATCGTTAGATAATAATATTGATTATTTCCGTTCGTTTTAGCAACGATTCAACGACCTGACAGGCACAGCGATTATATCGACCAATCGAAGCCAGATTTCGGCATAGTTATCTCGTAGAACTGTTGCTAGTACGAGGATCGCCAATTCATAGATTGATGTGATTTGTCAAAAGCAACGATATATGTATATGAAGCACTCAATGAAAAGTTGGATGCGACAATGGAGAATTTGACGGATGTTGATTGGTATTTTGAATGAAAAGTTTTGATGAAAAGTGTAGAGCGCGTTGATTAGTCGAGCATGTCGACGCCAAGGAACGATCTTTCGGACATGCGACAACCGTTGACGTGTGTCTGCTAAGTAAGAAAAGAGAGCGGTCCGTATCCGAAAGACCCTTGGAGTCCGAGAGAATGGAATATCGATGGCAATGCGCAGAAAGCATGTGGGTGAGAAAGTGACTGATAGCAGCTGCAGGAGCCCGGACAAGTTGAAGGGCTTACCAGCGTCTTTGCCGCCCTTGACGCAAATGCCAAAGCCGTGATGGGAGTCGGGTGGGTCTCTGGTCATGGTGATCGTCCTGACCGTGAGCTCTTGCAAGCTGAGGGACTGCGGCGCCGGGGACGCTTGCACGCTCGACGAGGTCGGCTGCGAACTCGAGCTGTTGCGCAAGGCCGCCACCGAAGCCGGACTCGATGCGGGCGTGCGCCTCTCGTTTTGTCGACGCTCCGTCAGGCCATTGCCGAATAGCCTGCCAAGCGTAATAACCGACTGCAATTGCCTTTCAATCCTACAGCTGCTCCTTTCGTTTGGCTATGCGGGTTTCGAACTGAATAGCGATGAGCGCGCGCATAAGGCCGAGCTACCGGCCGAGCTACCGGCCGAGCTACCGGCCGAGCCGGATTGCCGGCAGCGTTCGACGCTCGTTACTTGGAATACGCAGGCATCGCTAGGGCTCGAGCTCGTCGTCGGCGCTCCCGATTGAGCGAGCGCAGATAGGCGCTGATCGCGGCACGCACCTGAGAACCTGCTCGGGCGAGATGGCGCCGCTGCCAGCGGTGTGCGAGGAGGTGTGTCCCCGGTGCCTGTAGGGGGTGGCGTGCGAGGACGAGTAGTGGTGGGGCGCGCTGGGCGGCCTCTCGATGATGGTGTAGCTGGTGCCGGGCGGACTGTAGTAGCCGCGGTGCTGGCTGGACGAGTGATAGTGGCGCGAGCTCGCCGGCTCGAAGTCCTCCGCCTCGTAGCAGCTGCTCGAGCCGCTGCGCAGGAAATGCGAGCTGCCGCTCATGCCGCCGCTACGCAGGAAGCTGTGCGAGGAGGAGCCGCCACCGCCGCCGCTGCCGCCGCCGCCGCCGCCGCCACCGCCACCGCCGCCACCCCCGATGCCCCACTGCAGCTCCTGTAGCTCCGAGCCGTAGTCCTCCGTGGAGCTCGCCATGCTGCCTTTACCTCGAGCTCGCCACCTGCAATTTCCCAAACCTCAACCTCTGTCTCGCAAGTCTTACACTTTCCGACGACGTCGTTTCACGGCCTATAACACTTTTCGTTGGAAACAAAAACGTGACGATGCTTTCCTGCTGCTGCCGATAGCAGAGCTCTATCGACGAAAATGAAATTGAACGCGGTAGAACGGCCATGGAAAATCAAAAACATGGTTGCTAGCAGCCATGAAAATCAAAATAGATGTTAATAAAGGTTTAAATGACGGGTCCGCGAGTATAAAGATGAGTATCAGGCGTTAGAGGCGGAAGCTATCTGCATGTATAATTATAAATATTGAGCTCGAGCTTCATTAGAATCCATCCATCATCGAGGGAATAGGCAGAGTAGAAAGTATAGGCGTATTGGGAGAGAGGAGCCGTCCATGCGTGAAGCCCGCGATTGGCAGAGCGCGAGATACGACAGAGGGAGATAAGATAAGGGATCGAAGATCAGCCAACAGTATAAGGTTGATTGATACATGAAAAAGACAATTAGAGGCAAGAATAGTCGCCCCCGCTGCGGGCAATCGTTGTGTTGTCGCAAGCCCGCTACGGCTTCCCGCGAGCAGGGGTTTCCTGCTGCTGCCTTCGCTATACTATATGCTTAGCCGAGAGCACGCTTGCAGCATGCGGCGACTACTACCACTACCAGTGCACGAGCGGTCACTGATCTGCTTTCACGCTCGATCGCGCTTCCCAGTCAGATATCTAGCCGGTGAGTCTTAGTGTCTCGTGTCCAATGCCCCCGAGAGCACCAACCTCTGCCCCCGTACGCACGCACGCACGCACGTACGCGCGTGCATTCCCTGCTTTGACTTTACTTGGCATACGAGATTGTAACCGATACCGAGCGCGCCACGGAACTTTCGCCTACTTCGCCAACTTTCGCGCCTATAAACATGTCCTTCCTCGCGCTACTTAGGTGACAATGCTGATCTTATCTGGTTTATTATTTGTCCGGCAGATCGATACACGCGAATTTCAATGCGGGAAGAATTCTTATCGTGTTGCGCCACTTTCATTTGTTATTAATGCGATTCATGCGATTGTTTTGTTTCAGTGAATTTCTAGTCTCACAGGCAAATAAAGTTTTCCTTTAGTTACTGAATGCGAGGATATTGATTACTGCGTGTCTTTACACAAAAAATATATCAAATATGCATTATGCCTTGTCTAGACGTAGATTTTCAGTGAGGTTCGTTTTAACTTTCAATTTCAAATACATTTTTTCTGCGTTTTTTCATACTAAGCACGTTTTGTTTATACTCATCAATCAAATACAACCAGACTTTGATAGTTAAAGTTAGACTATTGTAAGGTTTAGGTGTAGACAAGAAATTAAAAGTAAAACTTTGTTGAAAGCAAAGGCGTCAGGTTCCAATTAAAAATATACGAAGGTCAGAATAACATTGTTTCGACTGATATGGTTCAGATTCATCAATTCAAATAGCATGCTAATATTTTCATCAATATTCTATTATGTATTCATAATATTGAACAGTAACTAAGTGTTGACGTGTTGAAGATAAACTATAGGCAAACACTAAAATATTAATATCATAAGTGATAAGATGATAAAAATTCTGTTGAAATTAAAAATTAAAATGACGTTATGAATTCCGTGATGACACTTGAATAAAAGCCAGAAAAGATTAAGAGATAGAAGAGGGAAAAAGAGAAGAGATAGGCCGCGCGAGTTGAATAAAAAACGCATTTTATAACATACAGTCGAGTATTATATCGCAGTAGCAGTAGACAACGACGAAGTGACTTTGTATGCAGTGTATGAAAACGCAAAACGAGTCTGCGAGAACGTCTAGATTACTTTTGAGAAAACAAGGTCGGCCCACTTGTGCGTCCGGCTGATGTGCTGCAGCACCTGCACCGCCTCTATATCCTCGACCCACGCGAGCGCCCAGCACGAGTGCGTTTGTCCGCCCACCCGACTGTGCACGGCTTAAATCATTCGGCCACTCACGTCGCTCGAACAATCGTTCGAGGGCACACGGATTTTTTCTTTTTTTTGCACCTGTTACGTTTTAAAGAAGAGAAGAGAAGAGAGAGAGAGAGAGAGAGGAGACGGTGGGGGGGGGGGGGGGGGGGGAAGCAGCCAGACAAAGCCGCGGCAACGCGGCTACTTTGCCGATTAGCAAGCTCTTTCGCTTGGTTTCCTCGACATCGCGGACCTACCTGCCACGACGACTACTCAGACGCGGAAATGAAGCCTTCAAAGGAAAGCTTTCTTGCAAGACGTCGAGGTGCTTTTAACTTTTTCAAATGGCTGCTTAATAGACGCAAGGGGCCTTACTCTTGCAAATGCAATGGAGCCTGCTCTTTTACCTTTCTCGCTCTCGTATCTCGAAACTACGGAGCGAACGTTGACTTTCCTATATTTAGCGTTTATATTGCTTGACGCTTTGCCCTCAAATGCAAAAACAAAGTTGTCACGACAATAATAGCAGCCTTGCTCCACCATCGGTTCTGACGAATAACATCCTGAGCTCGTATGTCGGCCCGCGAGCGAAATTTTAATTTTTGAAATGAGTAAAGGCTAAGCATCGTCAAACGCGTTACAGCTCTGATGTCAGCGAAAATATACGTTAGTGCTTTCCCGAAAGTTTTCGATTCAAAATCCGCAAGCTGTTTCTTTCGAATATTTTATGCTCAACGGAAACAAAATCGTGTAAATAACTAATAAGTAATAATAATAGGTGATTTATTTATTTTCTTCGATCGCAATGATAATAAATAAAAGTGTGTTTTTTTAAGAAAACGAGAATATTTGAAATTAATAGTAATTGAAAGAAACGACAGGAATGAGTTTGAGGGATAGTTTGTGAAAACTAATTGTGAAATTCGGTAAAAGAAGAGTGACGTCTGTCTGTAATCAGTGAAATTCATTCGTGGCAGAGTACGTGATCAGAAATAGAAAGAGAAAAGAGATCGAGCAGCAGCAGCGAGGAAGCAAGGAAGGGATAAGAGAAGACAGGGTGGTGCCAGGAGTGATTTTAGATGCTGGTGCGCGTCGGCCGCCAAGGAGAAAAGAAGATAGCGCGTGGAGATAGAAGGCCGACGCGATAATTGAACAATTTTCTGGGCTATACCCTGTGACACGCCAGTAGGGGTAGTCTTTGGAATGGCGCCACTCTCGCACTATACTGCTACGACGCCACGTGCTCGAATTCCAAAGGCGTCGCCCCACGCTCGCGCACGCGTTTCCGTGTGCGCGCGCTACATATCCCACAGACTCACTTGATTCACTTTCCCTTGGCACCGAGATATGACCTTTGACCCGCTCTATACGACAGAAAGAGAGAGAGAAAGAGAGCATCTTATTGGTATGCTACGCTTAGCAACCCAAATTCGTTTCGAAAGCCAAGTACCCAATGCACCGGTGAGATTGAAATAGACTTCTTTTCCTATCTACTACTTTCCCCGAATCAACTTCTGAATCATTCAATTTTCTCTTCTACGATATTGCCGAATGAAAAAAGCATGGGATTCCCAATGAAATTGACTCGCGAGATATCGTAAATTGGATTCGACATAACATGCACAATGGCCAAAATCAGCTTGGTACGCAGTGAGTAGACGATGAACATTCGGAAGACAAGCCGCAGTGTTTCGCACGGCCTGTTGCTTTCTAAGCAATCAATTTTTTGGAGCATTTCGAAAGACGCCGTTCCATGCTAACGCGTGTAAGCGCGATAAATTTCTATTACATTTGCAATTCATGGGGGAGCCGCACGCTGAGTCCAAATTACTAAAACGAACCTACTGCCCGTCCGCTCTCTACGCTCGACTCTGCACTGGGCTCGCATCGCCGTGAACTCGGCGCGCGTGCGCGCGGCTCAATTTTCCACGCAGCTGCGCGCGAGCTTCGGCTTTCCGCGTCTGTGCTAAACATATTTATATTCCGGTTGCGCCGCCACCACCGCCGCCACCGCGAACGCCCTTAGCCTTAATACTTGTCCGGAGAAGCCTTTCCCAAACTGCCTCATTTCCGGAATCTTCTTAGCTCGCTGCCACCTCTTATCGCCGTGTCTCGGAGCATTTCATACCAAATTGTTTTATTTATGAGCTCTTTGAATGCTTATCGCTGATGTTCTCGCTGTCCACTCGTCTTCCGAGATTCGCCATTCGAGTCTGTTCCATTATTCTCCACAAATCTTTTGCATGATTTGCGCAATTTTTTATCCAGCACTTGTCAAATATATCTATTCCATTCATTCGAGACAATAAACAATTAAGCTGCCTTTCTTACGAATTGAATTGTGCAGTACTCGTGCCTACTGCGTTGAATGGCGGTCATTTTGCGAGCGTGCTTGCAACTTGACCAACGATGAAATATTTGTACTACTAGAGAGTAGTTTTAATACAAAATGTCTATGTAAAAGTCTCCCTCGCCTAAACCAGTGCCTCTGTGTATTTACTTTCCAAATTTATATCTTACTCCCACCTAGTCGGTCGTATTTTTCTTTATTTCTATCGTACTCTCGTACACTACTCATCCATCATTTATCACGAAAATCGACAAGATATTCCTATTTCGTCTAGATCTTTCTTCTTCGAATACGTTTATAATACATTCCAGATGATCAATAACAAAAGTCATTCTTATCGACGACTTTGGCAGGAATGCCATTAAAAGAATGTAATTTCATATGTTGGTGAAATCATAAACATAACTAATTAAAGAAGATTTTTTTGTACCTTCCTTGTCGAATATGTATACCTATTTGTCAAAGAGACAGAAAACAGATCAAGATAGAAAATCGCGTATTAACGAGCGCTAAGACAAAAGTTCCATCAACATTTACTCACCGTGAAAATTTCTAAGAATAACCCTTAATAAGGGCCGCAAGCTCGAAGACCCGGAAAGCGCGTAACGTATTATCGAGATAGTAGAAGTGAGGGGTAGTGTCAAAGAAAGCAGCTCAAGACTGCTGCGAACGAAGTGCCCCTTCGCATGGTTGACCCAA